TCATGTTTGCAGAAACTAATGGTAAACAAGAAAGTGTATATATGCCTAGAATGAGAAACTATGCAGAGATATAGCACCTTTGATAAAGAATCAAGTGAACTTCCAAAATGGAAAAATATATGAACTATAAAATATAATCACTTAATGAACATATTTGGCTGTAAACTAGACTCATTAGAAAAGAAAATTAAAGAGGCAGAGAAAATTTTGGTCATTCTTCTGGACCAAGGAAAACCTCATTTTCTAGGACTTTAAGGGCAAAATTGATCTGTATTTATTCAATTGCAATTTGGTAAATTTCTGCATGGTAAGTTGCTCTTGTATGGGACACATCTGGATAATAATTACCTCTGCTTCCTCATAAAGGCTGTGATGTTTGAAATGTTTAACATAGTGGTGTGTAGGATTCATATCTTTGGTTAGCACCTCAAAGCATGCCGCAATTCCTTGTTCAATTAAGTAGACATCCATTCTCAACACCCAACCCAGAACTCTGAGACTGTGGAAATTTGCCATCTCCAACAGGTGGAATTATCAGCATGTACTTGATTAATACCTAATCGGTCAATTTGATAATGTCTCTCTTTTTGATTAAGAATCAGCATTCTTTTGTTGGTTCATATCGCCAACATCCTGTGTCTTGGATATTATACAGGTAGAGAAGTCAACAACGCCCTCCCGGCTCCACAAAAATAAACGAAAATAAACGAGTGAGGAGATTATATGGCACCTGTAGGGCTGGGAAAATTTATCTAAAGTTTCCATAAGCAAAATCACAGTTAAAAACCTCTTTGCCCTTTGTTAATTGAAAATAAACTGCTCTCCTTTAGAGAGGGCCTGGACCCTCTGAGGGCTGCCATGGAAACCAGCTCAATAGAGGTTTCAGCAACTACGCAAGCCTTTCATTTCACCCACAGCAAAACTCAGTCCAGAAGGCTTGAAATGTTAACATGTATTAGCAGGGGACCACCTGTGTGCCTCACCAGGTACACAGGCCTCGCTTTCTTTCTCCTTGAAGATGACCAGCTGCGATGACCAGCTGGAATATCCAGTAAAAAAGGCATTTAAGGAACATTGTCACAAAGCAGATATAAAACCTGACCAAGGGCCGGGGATCTAGCTCAGCAGCACACCACCTGCCTGGCAGGTGTGAGGTCCTGAGTTTGATTCTGGTACTCACAAAAAGAAAGGAGAGAGAGAAAGACAGAAACCTGACCAAGAAGAGAAGCCACACCTTCAGAGAAGGTGGAGGGACTGAAGGATTTGAGAAACCACTTGCTTCTGCCCCTCAGTGAAATGGAGAAGTTCAAATCAAGATAATGTAGAAGATTTCAGAAACAATTTTACAGCTGACTTATCATCTTCTATTCTGGTCACAAAACTCTCCACTGATGCTGAGATTTCAGGGTCTTTTTTCAGAAACAAAAGAAAACAATGACATGTCCAACTCAAAGGGAAAACAAAGGACAGATTGTTTAAAAGGAGGAGGGAGGAGTCTCTTCAAAGAGGAAAACAGAGTTCTACACTTTTGATTTTCTCGGTCATACAGACTCTGAGTCCCTGGCTCTGTTTTTATAGTATTCACAGTGGAAGAAAAATGAGCACTAATGAGTTGAAAATTCTTACATTCCAGCAACAGAAGTTAGATCCACAGTATGGATGGGTGATAGATATGTCCAAAGTAGGTAACAACAAAACCAGCCCCAGAACCCAGGCCCTCTGGCACACCCGCTCCGAGGGCTCAATGACCCTTCCCTGGCCCAGCTTCCCAGCACCCAGCCATCAGCAAGTTCCACTGCGTCTCATGTTGCCCTTTGTCTTAGCCATCTATAATCACTGAGACATAATACCTGACACCCACAGATTAAAGGCAGAAGGTTTATTTTATCTCATGGTTGCATCTCCAGTTGGTAGAGGGTCTGGTGCATAGGAAATCTGCTCAGTCATGGTGTCCAGGAAGCAGAGAGAAAAAGAAGGAGCTGGAAAGGGGTGCATCTTTCCAGGTTACAGCCCCAGTGACCTGCGTCTTCTGACCAGTACCACCTCCTAACAAGACACTCAGTTATAGCACACTTAAGCTCTAATTGCCTTTCAAAATCCCCTGGGCACATGAGGCCTTCAGGATCACCTGTATCCAAACCCTAACACCCATCCACCCAAACACTTATGCCCATCTCTTTACATCAGATTATTTGGTTCATCTCTAAAGTCTTAACAGTTCCAGCATCACTTAAAAGTTCAAGTCTAATATTGAGATTTAAGACACTCTTATCTATGAGACTCTATAAAAGTCAGAAAGAAAGTTGAACACTGCTAATCCACAGTGGCACCCAGTACACATTCTTAATTCACCAGGGAGAAATGGGGGAACGGGAAGCAATAGGACCAAAGCAAGATCAAAACCCTGCAGGGCAAACATTAAATCCTTTTCTTCCATATGTAACACCCAGGGCAAGTGGTGGTAAGATATAAGCTCAATAGGGCTTGGGCAACCTCACTCCATGGCATTCCCAGTTAGCCCATCATGGCCTCTTGTTTGGGTTGATTCCAATCAATCCCTTTGGCTTTCCTCAAGCAATCCACATTCCTGGATTCAGTTTCTTGGGGTCTCCACTGCACCTTTGGCTTAATCTTTACAGCCTTAATCCTCACAGCCTCAAGACTGCTTTCTTGGGCACAATCCCTCTCCCCCCGAGACATTCTTTTGAAACCTGAGAGGAAGCCTCACTGTCAAGACTCTTGCATTCTGCATGTCTATAAAACCAGCACCACATGGAGGACACCAAGATCAGCCACCGGCTCAGTCAGTGTCATGGCTGTAGCAGCTCCTATGTGCCTGGATGGTTGAACACTGTGAATCAAATCCCTAGGAATCCTTCTTTTTTTTTTGGTCTTTTTCATTTTTATCGGTACCGGGGATCAAACTCACGACCGCCTGCTTGCAAGGCAGGTGCTTATGCCGCTGAGCTAAACCTCCAGCCCCTAGGAACCCTTCTTGAGCAAGGTGCCCTGGGACTCATTTCTCAAAGCAAAAATTTTCAAGAGTTTATCCTTACCCTTTTATACCCTTGAGCCTGGGAAACAGGATGCTGCTGATGACTGAGATGCCCTCAAGGCATCTTCCATGCTGTCCTGAGGCACAGTATTTGACTTCTTCTGAATGTTAATCATTTTAGCAACCACACTTTCAGAGCCCCATCTTTGTAGGAACTTGCTTCCTGTTGAAGTTACACACTTTTTACATCTTTTGATTCCAATATTTGCTCCTAATTTTTACTATAGACCTAACTAATAGTCACCAAAAATACAAAGCCACAGCCTCATTTGGCTGCCCTGGAATTTCTTCTGCCAGATTAATTAGTCCACTGCTTTTAATCTCTGTGTACCACAAAGTCTCAGGACATGAGCAAAATGCAGACAAATTTTCTACCAGCACAAAACATACGTGTGGTCTTGAGTCCAGCGGTCACTGAAGTCCTCATTCCCAACTGAAGCCTTCTGAGCTTGGTCTTTACTGTCTACATTTTCATGAGCAGTCTAGTCCTCTAAACTCTGACCCTAATGTCCCACCAACCTTGGTTTACAGCATGCTAGGGCTGGTATCTCCAAACTTTTCCAAAATCTTCTTGAAAACAAGTTCCAAAATCTTCTAAACCACATTGTCAGGTACTGTCACGGTAACAACCTCACTTTGCTGGTACTTAACCCTGTCTTGGTCATTTCCTTACTGCTAGGACACAAAACCCAACATCCACAATTTAAGGGAGGAGAGCTTTAGTTCAAGCTATGGTCAGCTAGCTCCAAAGATGAAATGGTCTGAAGAAATGACCTGGAGGGGGAAAGCCGCTTGTGTCAGTGTGACTATGAGGCAAAGAGAGAAATAAACGGCTGGGGAAAGAGATATCCCCTTCCAGGTCACACCTCCAGTTGCCTGCTGTTCCAAACTAGTCCCCATTTACTGATACATTCAGCTGTATCACCCCTATCCCAGACCATCATGGCCTCTTTTGACCTCTGTGCTCATTTTGCCAGTGTAATACTTACTTTCTGTCTAATATTATTTCTAAGTAGCACACTCAAGTCCATGCAAGCAAGATGCTTATTTGTGTTCACCCCCCAGCAGCCCCTCTCTGAGGCGTGCTAGCCTAGATTAGCACATTTCACACCAGGTCTCTCTGCTGCCCTGTCACAGCTCACTAGGCCAGAGACGAGTATCTCACCCAGAAGCAGCTACTTGTTGGTTACCCAGTTCCCTCTAGGAGACCGTTTAAAACAAAAGCCCAGCGTGGAGGCACCACGTTTTCCTGGATGTCGACCGCCTGCACCACGAGGGTTCCTCTCGCAAGAAGTCTGAACCTGGGACAACGCAGAAAAGAAAATAGTGCGGCAAATGGAAGCAGGAAAACCGATTTGAAAAAGCAGTAAGCAGAAGCCGGCTAAACCAAGCTAACAGGACAGAGCTCAGAGTCAGCAGCAGCAGAACAGGGAGAGCTTGGGCAGACACTGGGACACTGATTCTGACTGTAGGAGCTGATAGAGAGAGAGGCCGTGGTGCATCCTGAACTATGATCTAGTTCTCAAACGTCCTTGCTTTTAATAAGTTTGGGGAGTCATTCAGACAATTTTCTGCTTTTCTGACCCCCTAAGTACATATGTTTAAAATATGCCCTAAGCAATTCCAAGCAAGATCCTTTTCCTGGCAACCTGAATGACCTGAACCAATGTAACAGAAACATGTTCTTTTTGCCTCGGTGGGAGCTATGCCTCGAGCGCTTTCCACAGAACTGCCATGCACCACAGGAACAGCCAAAACGATCACGGCTTCCTCTAAGAAATTCCAAGGACTTCCATGTGAGGGGACAGGCAGCCTGTAGGGGAGATGGTGAAACATGAGGCAGCTTTTCAGGGGCCAACCAATGCATGGTGTTGTGGCGAGTACTCACAAGGTTTTTGTATTAGTTTGTTTTTTGTTACTGTAATGAAATGCCTGAGGCCAGGACTCATTTTAAAAGGCACTTATTTATTCAGCTCAGTTTTTAAAGGCTGAAAGCTCTGCCCAGGGCCCCTTGGCTTTATCACGTCATAAGATACAGCATCATACAGGACAGGAGCATATCTAGAACAGAGTGGCACATGTTTGTAAGCTCAGCTACTCAGGACGCTGAGGCAGGAGGATTGTATGTTTAAGGCCTACCTGAGCAATTGAGGTAACCTGGGCAACTTGAGACCCCATCTCAAAATTTTATTTATCTATTTTTAAATACATTTTATTGATATATTTTAGATATACATAATGATCACATTCATCACAGAATTTGTACCTGTACATGATATAACCTTTTTCCCACTCTCCTACCTCCCTTCAACCCCTCCCATTTATAAGAACATTACTGCTATGTTTTCCTTATTGTCTCGTTCTTTTTACTTATCTCTTCTTTCCTTTCCCCTCCCTTTTCCCTCATTCTCCTCCCCATGTGAACATTTTCTTCCTATTCACAATATCTATTACACATTTTGGTCTTTATTTACACTTTAGATTTCTCACATCACAGAAACAACATAGTATTTACACACATGTGTCCAATTTATTTCACATAATAATATGGTCTCAAGATGCATCCACTTTCTTAGATATGTCTTGAGCATATGTCTTCTTTATGGCTGAGTACTACTCCATTATATTTTTAAAAAACCCTATCTTTACTCATTCACCAATTGATGGGCACTTCAATTGTTTCCATATATGGTTATTACAAACTGTACCACTATAAATATAGGTGTACATATAACATCTTTAGTGAAGATACCGAGGAGGGAAATGGCTGGGTCAAATGCAACATCTAGTTCTAGTTTACTAAGGAATCTCCACACTGATTTCCACAGTGGTTGCACCATTCTGCACTCCCATCAATAGCAGAGAAGTGTTCCTTTTTCCCCTGCAGCCCTGCCAGCATTTGTTATTGGTTGCTTTCTTGATAATAGCCATTCTTTCTGGAGTGAGGTGGAATTTCAGCTTTGCTCTAATTTGCATCTCTTGAATGACGAGTAATGTTAAACATTTTTTCATATGTTTATTTTTTATTTCTGTTTCTTCATCTGAGAAGTGTGTAATCATCTCAGATGCCCATTTTTTAATTTAATCTTTAAATTTGGGGAAATCTGATTGTCTTAGTTACTTTATGCTCATGGCTGAGACAAAAATACCTGAAGCCCAAAGCTGGGAAAGGAAAGGTTTATTTCTTACAGTTTTTGAAGGTTTCAGTCCACACTCAGTTGGCTCCAAGGCAGGCGGGCATGGCTGGGCTGCATTTCATGGCGACTGCTGACAGCAAGCTCAAACCAGCAAAGAGAAAAACACACCTACTTCCTGCCATTACATCACATCCTGGCTTCACCCCTATGTGGGTGGAGCACTGACACCATTAATCCAAGCACTATACAATGAACCATCACAAATGAACAATGCAAACTCATGAGGCTTTGGGGGACACAGACATAAACCATGACATTCCACCCCTGGCCCCCAGGACTCATGTACATCCTTTATACAAAAGACATTTAGTCCACCTCCAAGAGTTGCCAAAGTCCTAAGAGCTTCAACATTGCTGAAAAGTCCAAATCCCAAGTCTCCTCCAAGATCTATGGCAAACTCTTAACTGTAAGCCCTGTACAAAAGAAACAAGGTTAAACATTTCTGAAATGCAAAGGCACAAGATAAACATTACCATTCCAAAAGTTACAAACAGGAGAATAGAAAGCATTTGAAACAAAGCAATTCCAACATCCAGCAGGGCAAACATTAAGTCCTAGAGTTCTACACTCAGCATCTGAAGCAATCTGGTTGCAAGTTCCAAAAGCCTTGGGTGATTCCACCCCCAGGGCACTTCCAGGGATTTCAACTCCTGCAGCTTTTCTCTTAAATCCTCTCTGCTTGCTTTTTGCAGCTTTCCTTGGATCATCCACGTCCCTGGTTTTTCCAAACTTCTGGGGTCTCCACTGCACCTTCAGCTTCACCCTTACATCTTCACAAATTGCCCTCTCAGGGGCACACTGCATGGCCAGCTGGGCCCTTTGCAATCGAGGTGGAAGCCTTCTTACCCTCAGAATTTGTGCATTTTCCTTGCACCTAAAATCAGCATGTTGTGGATGCTGCCAAGGTTTGCTGCTAGCTGAAGCGGCAGTCAGGCTTTTCTCTCTCTTGGCTGTAGGGGTCAGTTGCCTGGATTGCAGGGCTCTGTTTACCTGATTGTGATGAAAAGCTTCTCTGTGTTGCTGCCATTCTGGAACCTCACGTGGCCTCTGTCGCCATTCTGGAGCATGGCACTCTGCAGCTTTTTCCTCTGAGCAAAATTTTTCATCTTTGCTATGAGGCTGCACAGGGCAAGGACCTGCTTCCTTGGATGCCCCGGGGCCATCTTTCTTATCTCTCTGTTTCTCCTCAGGAATCAAAATCTCAACTCTGTCTTTACAATCCACACCCTTCCTGGAATCTTCCTTCGGGCCAAATTCACAGTATTGGAAATTATCCTGCTGGGCTCTTTGCTCTTGATTCAAAACATAAAGCTCGCTAAAAGCCACCAATAGCCATGCCACAGCCACAACATTTGGTTGCTTTTTAATTTCTTTTTCAAGATTAATCAGTCCATTGCCCTTTGTCTCAGTCTTAGGCAAAGTCTCTGGGCAGGAACAAAATGAAGACAAACTTTCTGCTAAGCCATAACACACATCATGTGGAGTCCAATGACCAATGCAGTCTTTCCCAGCAGAAACCTCCCAAGCCTGGTCTTTACCATCAGGCTTTCTATCAGCTTTCAGGTCTCCTGAGCTCTGACCAGAATGTATTCTACAGACCAGCCTAAGCTGCTCCAGCTCTATGCATCCAGGTGACATGTCCAAACCTTTCCAAACTCCGCCCACAAGCCATTTCCAAAGCCTCTTGAAAAACATGGCCAGGTATAATCACAGCAAAGGAACCCACTCTTGGTACCAAATTTCTGTCTTAGTTACTTTATGCTCATCGCTGAGACAAAAATACCTGAAGCCCAAAGCTGGGAAAGGAAAGGTTTATTTCTTACAGTTTTTGGAGGTTTCAGTCCACACTCAGTTGGCTCCAAGGCAGGCGGGCATGGCTGGGCTGCATTTCATGGCGACTGCTGACAGCAAGCTTAAACCAGCAAAGAGAAAAACACACCTACTTCCTGCCATTACATCACATCCTGGCTTCACCCCTATGTGGGTGGAGCACTAACACCATTAATCCAAGCACTATACAATGAACCATCACAAATGAACAGTGCAAACTCATGAGGCCTGGGGGACACAAACGTAAACCATGACACTGATTTCTTTTTAGTTCTTTATATGTTCTCATTAGTTATTCTTTGTCTGTGGAACAGCTTGCAAGCACTTTTCCCACACTGTAGATTGTCTTTTCACCCTGTTGGTGATTTCTCTTGCTGTGCAAAAGCTGTTTAATGAAATGGCACCCCAGTTGTTGATTCTTTGTGACAATTCCAGTGTGATTGCAGTTTTAGTCATAAAATCTTTCCCTACACCAATGTCTTCAAGACTTTTACCAAGATAGCTTCTTGTAGATTTAGTGTTTCTGTTTTAATACTTAGATCTTTGATCCATTTTGACTTTAGTTTAGCACATGGTAAAAGATATGGGTTCAGATTTAATCTTTAGTAGGTGAAAAGCCAGTTTTTCCAGCACCATTTATTAAAGAAGCTATCTTTCTTCTAGTGAATGTGTTTGGTAACTTTGTCAAAGATACGGTGGCTAAGTATATTTGGAATTGTTTTTCCATCTTTTAATCTGCTCCATTGATCCTTAGGTTTGTTTTTTTTCTGAGGTTTTTTATTTGTTTGTTTGTTTGTTTTTACCAATGCCATGTTGTTTTTATCACAGTAGCTCTGTAGTATAATTTCAAATTAGGGATTGTGATGCCCCCTTCCTTGTCCTGGTTTCCCAGTATTGCCTTTGCTATTCAAGGTCTCTTCTGGTTCCAAATGAATTTTAGGAATATTTTCTCTAATTCTGTGAGTTATGCTGCTAGAATTTTTATTGGAATGGCATTAAATTTGTATAACCACTTTGTAAGTATGGCCATTTTCACTACGTTAATTCTTCCTAACTGAGCAGGGGATGTCTTTTCATGTTCTGATACCCACTTCAATCCCTTTTTTCAGAGTAGTATAGTTTTCAATGTAGGTGTCTTTTACATGCTTCATTAGATTGATTCCTAGGTATTTCATTTTTTGGATGCTGCTGTGAAAAGTACTGTTTCCCTACCTATCTCAAAATTTTAAAAGGCTGGCGATGCAGTACAGCCATATAGCACTTTCCTGGAACCCATGAGGCTCTAAGTTCAATCTCCAGGATCACTAAAAAGAAAAAGAAACAATAAAATGGAATAAAATAATAAGGTAACAGAAGCATGTGTAAAACAGGAAGCCATGAAAAGAGAAAGAGCCAGTCCGTGACCTCCCACCAGACCCTTGCTCTGAAGAGTGCAGCTCCTCTCCATCATCACTGTGAGAACCAAGCCTCCAAAAGGTGGACTCTCAGCAGACAAGTTGCATTTCAACCCCAGCAGTGTCTCCATGATAGACATGAAGTATGTAGGGATTCTGAGCAACAGTCTTCAATAGAAACAACTAACCTCCGCATGACCAAGATGAAAACCCATCTCTCTAAAAATAGTCACCCAACAAAAATATAAAACAAAGAAATTTTGACATATTACAGTTCTCTAGCCTCTAGAAAGAGATAGTATACACACACACACACACACACACACACAGAGCCAGGCACTGAGAAAAGCCTCTGACAGTCAGAGACACTCCAGGGTACCAGCACACTGAGTGAGAACTCAGTGAGAACTGGGTGAGAACTCACGCTGCAGTGCACCTCTGGCCATCCGGGCTCTGGGACTGGGACCCAGCCTCCATCCGGCAGCACGAGCCTCCCTTTGCCTCGCACTGTCCTCTCATCTCCTGTCCAGTGATGTTCACAGAAATGGTAATTATTCAAAGAACCAGGATGGGGGCTGGGGATTTAGCTCAGCGGCATAAGCGCATGCTTTGCAAGCAGGCAGTCGTGAGTTCAATACCGGTACCGATAAAAAGGAAAAAGACCAAAAAAAAAAAAAAAAAAAACAAAGAACCAGGATTTCCAAGAGAAAGAATCTCACACGTGCCCCTCCGTATACCCAGGGTCTGAGCCAGTGGTCTGTGCTCCTCCCACAGGAGAAGAAAGGCTGTGGTTCCTTCCTCACCCCACGGGGTAGTTACTCAAGGTCTGCAGCACAGCTCCTCCTGGCTTATGTTTGCACTGCCTTTTCTCAGAGACAAGGCAGGGAAACCCGTGCTGCTCTTCATCCTAACTCACAGTCAGTGGAGATTTTCATATCTAAACAGGAACCTGTGAAAGTGGTGACTCCTGGATGCAGACAGAGCTCAAAGCAGGGAGGATGCTGGGGTGTAACAGAAGCAGAAACACAGAAATAACCCTCAGGATTTGGAGGCAGATTTATTTTACGTCAATGAGCACTGATCCGGATCATTCCCAGAATATCAGGCCCTTATCTCTAGAGGTCTGAGGCTTATCTGAGGTAAGCAAGCAGGAAGTACAGAGGCTTGTCAATTGGGGACTGGATCTTACAATATGCATCCTAGTGACCAGCTGTGCATCACAGTGACCAGCTGTTGCTAAGAAACAAAAGTAAGAGGAACTGGAACTGTCACCTGGGAAATTAACGAACTGAAGTATACGGGCCTGGGGGGGGGCATCTTCTGCTATAGGGGTGCAGGTTTTAAGCAGCTTCCACAGCCCTGTGCCACAGGTGCCATATTGAGCTCCCTTTCCTGCTGTTCTTACAGAGGAAAGCTCATCCAATGTGACCCAACTGCAACCCAAACTTCTATGGAATAAAACGATTGTATCCCAAGCTCCAGCTGGTGGCAAATTCATTTTGAGACCTATTCAACATAAGAGAACTGCAGAATAACATGAAAGACCTGTGGAAAGCTTTGGCCTGGATCTTCCTCTGCTCCTCCTGTTCTCCAGTGCCACCTTCTTCTGTTCCAGTTTTTTTTTAAATTTTATTTAAAAGGAAAAAGAGAAAAAACAAAAACAAAACAAAGCGGTGTTAGGGTGCAAGTAATACAGAACTACAAAAAAAAAAAAAACAGTAAGAAATCACCAGTTAATAGATTACATATTATCATCTTAGAGATAGTTGCTCAAGTCACAGTATCAAAGCATACAAAGTGGACACTCAAACAGTGAGACTGCAAACAGTTGTGTTCAATGATCTTGTGTTCAGTGATCCAACCAAAAACATTAATATGGTCAGCTATTTATCACCCCTAAATACACTTGCTGTTGTATCCTTTAGAGCACTTTTTTTCCCTCTCTTTTTTACAACAAAATTTACACATTTTGGGTTTTATTACTCCTTAGTTCTTATTACTTTTTTTTGGGAGAGAATAAAGTCAAATATGGCAAAACAAAGCTGTCAGTGAAAACCAAGGATAAACATAGCACATGATGTAAAACAGAGTACAAGGTTATCAACAATGGTTATCAACAATGTCTCTTGTTTCCTTAAAAAGAATTGTGTATCTCATTAGATATTATAAAGTTGAACAGTAGAGAACAAGACCAATAAAACTTAGGCATTGTAAACATTACAGGACTTCCAAAGGAGACAATAGTCAAACCAGAATGGGCATCTTAGTGAATCTTATTGCCTTCAAAGTAGTTGCCTATAGCCTCAAACTTGATACTATCGCACAGAATGGAACAGAGTCTAATCAGTCAAAACAAGATCGTGGGAGTATTACAGGACTTCAAAACAAGTTAATAGGAAATCAAAAAGAGTTACTATTATATATCCTGCTAATTTTTTAAATTTTTCCCCTTAATTAAAAAAAACCATAAAAAATAACTAAATAACTTTTTTAATGAATAAGGGAGAGATTGAGATAAAACAGGACATAACAATATAACAATAAGGTCAAAGCATGACTTTTTCAGCAACCTAGTGCTTTTTTTAACCTGCTGTGAGACTCACTTTTCAGGATTTACTTCTGCGTCGTTTTGTAGTTGTCTTTTCACCGTTCCTAACTTCTCCCTCACTTATTTCATTCTCTTTCACCTGTTGTTTCTCACTTTTCTCTTACCTTTCCTCCGTTTGTCTGCTCTCACTGCTGCCAGAGGCGAGGGGCTGCCATCTCAAAACTGGAGTGACGCCCAGGAATGCTAGCACGTCCCGCACAGCTGCACACCCATCAGGACACACACTTCCGCCTCAGCCGGAGTGACCCGTTAAGTAGGGGTGCTGGGCCAGGGCTGTGACAAATCCCTCAGAAAGCTCATGGGAATGATTAGCTACTGAGCCGTAAAGAAGTATTTCCTACTCAGGCTGAGCCAGGATTGCTGCAAACTCAAGGCCAGCCTGGACTACATAGTGAGATCCGTGTCTCAAACCAACAACGAAAAGCATTTCCTTGTTTTAATAATCAACACAGCTAAATAAAAGTGTACGATTGAGAAGAAGGAAAACAGGCCCTGAGAGCCAAGAATTAACCTAGCTCCATAACCAGGATGCGGAGCTGCTAGGAGCTGGCACGGGCACTCGAGGCTGGGCCTTGCTGAACTAACAATTTTACAGAACAGCAATACCAGACCGACTGTGGTGAATCAAAGCAAAAAGAAGATTCCATCATCACGTCCGAGTGTGACAGAAATAGGAACACAGTCTGAAGCACAAAAATGCCCACATGGCCTCTACAGTGTGCAGCAGCTGCTGCCCCTTCACCGGTGACAGTCACAGCTTTATTCATCCCTCCCCATGCACAGAAGGCTGCTTAAGACACCCACCATAGAATCCACTTGCCTCCCCAAAGCACCCAACCTGCATCTTGAAAACATCCAATCCCTCCTCCAAATTTCCAAACCCAAATCAAAATCCTGCCTGAGTCACTTCTCTGTTGCTATCACTGAGTACCACAGATGGGGTAATTTATAAATAAAAAGGGTTGTGATATTAGAGCATAGCACCCACATCTGGGCAGCATCTGGCAAGGGTGGTGGCACCACAGAGAGCATCACACAGTGAGAAAGATAAAGCATGCTAGCCCTGCTATCCTGTGTTTCTCTTCCATCTCCTTCTGGTAACACTACTAAAATGATCATAAAAGTCAACCTCATAACTTCACATCCACTCCTGATTATCTCCCATGGCCTCATCTCCAATGTCTACTGCAGGGCTTTAAGGATTAAGTTTCCAGTAAGTGAATTTTGGGGGACAAACCCACCATAGCAAGGTCCTTCCTAACACCGTGTAGTCAGACTCCCCGTGGTGCTCTCCTTCATTGCGACACATAGCAAAGCCAACTTCTTCAGCCACAGCATGCTCCCTGTGGGCTCTGGCTGCAGGTCGCTAACAAGGCATGAGTCCATATGGTGTCCAAGGCCTTGAGATGACTTTGAGGAGAGGATTTCTGGCAAGGAGGACCTCAGCCTCTAAAGAAGACTGCCAGTGAAGCTCCCCCATTAGGAAAAGGCAGGGGGGCTTGCTTCTCTCTGCAAAGTTTTATTCCACGACACTCCCAGGAGGGGGATATAACAAAGAAGGAGGTCTCCCGAGAGAAAGGGAACAATATGGTGGCATCTAGGTCTGGCGTGAGACCCAGCCCTCACCTGAGGAGATTGCCTGGAGCAGTGGGGAAGTGCAGAGTAGAAATCCACTGTTTGCTTGAAGGTGGCTCACGCCACACTCAGGACAGCTCCACCGCACTCGGGGCTGGTCCCGTGGCATCTGCATTATTGCTGCTTACCTCCTGCCTCAGCCCACTCCTCCTCCAGATCTGATTTACCTTCCTCTGGGCGGGATCACAGAGGCAGGTGAACGAATACGATCTGACCACTTCCTCCCCTTGGCTCTGTGTCCAGCAGCCACTGTGATCCTTCTCATGATTGTCTTCAGCGATGTGGGCAGGAAAAGCTTAATAGCAACAGCGAACTAACCCTCCCATGAGTGCCACTGTACCTGGGAACGACCAATTGGTTTCCCAGAACTAGGCTGGCCACCTAGCCTGCCCAAATTCATGCAACAGTGCCTTCCTACAAAGCAATTCTTTCTACTTTGAGGCACTTGAATGAATTATGTCGCTCCAGAAGAACACAAATTGCCAGACAACAAATTATACGAGCCAAAATCAAGGGCTGCTCCTAAATGACTCAAGATGTTGAAAGACATACACAAAACAAGTGAATCAGTCAAAAGAACCAGAGACACACCCTACAGTTTTGAGCCCTTTAGGTGAGATGCATTCTGCCGTTAACGCTGACAGCGCTTCTCCCACTGAAAGGTACCAGGAAACTTGGAAAAGCAAAGCGTGGCTTCCTATCAGCAGCCCGCCAAGTAGCATCGAGATGAGCACTGGAGATGAGTAAACAGAATTAAAGCCTCATCGAATCACAGAATGAATGTAAACCTGAGGGAATCCCGTCTCTACAATGCTAAGGTGATTATCTCCTCGCATGCACTTACGGCTGACCAGGAGCTGCTCTCTGGACCGAGGCTCTCACAGTTGCAGGAAGAGCACCTGGAGGCCGAGTAGAAGGGGCCACTCTGCACCCCACCGGGACCTGTGATCCATTTGTGGAACGTTTTTGCTGAGAGAACAAAGCACTGACAAGTGTTGGGATGAAATCCCAGCATGCTAAGGAGGCACTGTCTCTGTGCTCATTAAAAAGATGTATTAAGTCAGTGTGGTGGCATGCATCTGTAATCCCAGTGCGTTGGGAGGCTGAGACAGGAGGGTTGCAAGTTCTAGGCCAGCCAGGTGACTTGGCAACCTAGCCAGTGCTGGTCTCCAAATAAAATCTAAAAATAGGGCTGGGGTTGTAGCTCAGTATGAAGCACACGGTTCAAATCTAGTACTGCCAAAGAAGAAAAGCGTTAGTTGAAGTAACTGAGCTGCTCTAACAGATAAACCCAAATTTCCAGGGGCATGCTGGCATAAAGAGTGTTCTGGACAGTGGACAGCTTTTCATCCTGTGGCTCCGCTCCCTCTAGAGAGACTAGTGCATTCACTCAGTTGTCCACAGAATCACCCATGAAGCATTTAAAAACTCCTGCTGCAGCTGGGCACGGTGGCACACTGGTAATACCAGCACTTGAGAGGCTGAGGGGCAGGAGGCACTATGAGTTCAAGGCCAGTCTGAAATAAATAGTGAGATCCCGCCTCAAAACGGACAAACAAACAAATCTGCTGCTGCTTAGACCATGGCAAGGCAGGGGGTGAGTGAGCAGGGGATTTGTAAAAAGATCTCCAGGAGATTCAATCAGCAGTCAAGGTTGTGGCCACTGTCCCAGAGCACCAGGGTCCCCCGCCCGGAGCTGGTGGAAGAGACATAAAGCCCCAGCCCAGAAATGAGCATTGTTCCTCCCACATTTGCTAGTTGAGGTCTTGTTTGCAACTGAGGACACAAACTATGATCCCTTCCAGGGGCGGCTGGCTAACCGTCCTGGTAGAGGTGTGAGTGGGGAAGTCACTCAGTGGGAGAAGAAATGAGAGAAGTACAAAGGGGTGAGGATTAGGGGTGCGTGACCAAAGTAGAACTGTGACAGTTGCAAAGTTGGACCCAACTTGGCCCCTCGCCCTCCTTGGTGTCATGATTCACAAGAGGCCACGAGCTTGGCTCTCTGTCCAGTTTTTCTCCTCTCTTGGCCTGGACACATGCACCAGGGTTCAGCTTAGTTTCCATTTGATTTTCCTGAAAACACGATCTCACCTTTTCTGAACACTTGGAGCTATCCTTATCCCACCAACTCAGGTGAAGGGCTCTGAAAAATCACAACCGTATTCCACAGCCATACGTGACGGTTTCCTCTCCTCCAGGCAAATGGCATTGTTTTAGGGTGTATTTGGCATCTCAGATACATTTGCCTTTTCCATACTGATGATACAAAAGTGAGAAGGTAGACAGTAAATAAAATAGGGAACTTTAGAAGCCAAGGAGAATGCAGACAGAGGTCCTTGGGCTAGGAAATAAAACAACCTCCAAGTTTAACTCCAAAACTAAAATCCAACAAGAAGCCCATCTTTTGCTTGGCTCCAATTCAGAACTCACTCTTTTTGACAAGGTAAGCCAGAGTGGACACCCCTTCCCAATGTCGCAGTGCAGAAAGAACGGAGGGGCGGAACCCAAAGGCACAGCTGCTCAGAACAGAGAGCAGGCCCCTGGGTCTGGGGGAAAGAGACCCCTTCCCTGAGAGGAAGCGAGTGTTTCTGCTGAGCATGTTGAGGAACATCAAATTCCTTTAAATACCATTAACATGGGGATCTGACTCGGGCCAGAAATGAACTGGAACAAAGGGGTGCTGAAATTTCTCTACCCAAGCGAACAAGAGCCAGGCAAACAGTCAACAGTCCCACCAAGTGGTCTGGCACGGGAACAACAGAGGCCCCAGGAGAAAGGACCAGCACATCAGGTGTGGAGCAGACCTGGACTGCGGCCAGCCCCTTGGCTGCACTTCTCTGAGAGTTTCCAGGAGGTTAGCAAATGGAAGCGAATCTCATCATGCTGAATGGGGTTCATGATGGTTGTCAGTAACCAAGCTTGTGTTACCTGAGAATCTCCATAACATTTTGATTCTCCAATGAGAGTGCAGCTACTTTTCACATACCTTGTTTATTACCTTTGCTTGGATGGGATGGGATGGGATGGAGTGGGATGGGGTAGGGTGGGGTGGAGTGGAGTGGGATAGGGTGGGATGGGGAGGGATGGGATGGGATGGCAGTATATGGTGAGGTATTATGGTATGTTGCGGTGTAGGATGTGGCATAGCACCATGGTAGATGGTATGATACACTACAGCATTGTGACGTAGTATGCCATGATATGCTCCAGGTATTCATATGGATACCCAGACTGGAAATGGCCCCACTAGACCCATCCAGACAAGATTCCAGTATCATAGTGAAACATTCAACACTCAGTTTTCTCCACAATGAACCCAGCTATCAGTAGTATCTGCAGAAGAAGGAGAAAAGAAGGCAAGATGATGTGAAAAAATGGACAGAGGGAAGCCGAAAGGGAAGGAAGAAATTGGACTCAGTTCTGGGAAAGAAAACCATACACTGAATACACTCATACATGAAGCAGCCATAAGACTCCACGCAAGCTGCGCAAAGTCTCATTTTGTGACCTTGGACAAATCCTTTATTTCTGGACCTTAGTATCTTCCTACAACTGAGAATATGGAACTAGAAAATCATAAGACTCTTCCAGTTCTGTGATATTCCATCAAGTGGAGAAGATGATTATGGAAAAAAGTAACTTACCTAACATCAAGTTGTTGTCTTTTAAGGGAACTTTATATAAATCTCTAGTCATGTCTAAATTATGAAAAAGGACTCAGTTTAGAAATTACGCAGGTCTCTGGCTCCCCCTTTCCTTTCAGTTTCTGTTCCCTTTAAGCCATTATCCTACTCATTAAGGCTGCCATTAGACAAACAGCAGGAGGAAATGAATGAACTAAAATTCAATCATTGGGGTTTCCTCACTTTGTAAAGAGTGAATCTGGAGCAGCATCATGCTAGCAGGTACCAAGGGACTCAATACATCAAGGAGGACGAGGAGGAGTACGGAAATGTAAGCACTGCGTGACATAGGCATGACTTGCTGTCCCATCCTTGGTGTGCAAAGAACAGGCACATCACAGGCATCTTGCTGTCCACTAAGGAGACCCACGAATGTGTATGAGCATTAAATTGAATGATTTCTCAATAACTTGGATCCAATGTGTATTTTCCCGTGATAGCCCTGCTCTTCTCATTCTTATAGATTGTGACTTTCACTGTCTTCATCCTCTTTCTCATTGTACTTAAAAGGCAGCAGTAATTGCCTGAATATGGCCCCTTCTCAAATGCCAAGCTCAGTTGCTCAGAATAGCCCTGGAGATGAGGTCATCTTCCAGCAATTTTGTACCCATGAGGTGTGGGGGTCAGTCCCTGTTTGAGGGGGGAGCCCCTCACTGCATGCCAAAATGTGGCCCAGAACTGCAAATGGTAGTGTAAATCAAGGCCATTGCATCTCACAAGTCGTGTCTCTACTTGGTCATTAGATTAGCGAGAATAAATGAAGTTACCCTTGCATATCATAATGGCAAAGATCTGAGAGCCTAAACAACAAGAAAGTTGTTTCTTTCTCCTGTAACATTCCAGGTTCCAAGGCTGACGATGGCTCGGAAGGCAGATGTCAAGGCTTCTCTGGACAATGTTACTCAGTCAATTACAGGAAAGAAGCAGGAAGGGGTCCAGCAGGCGATGTTTAATGGCCAAGACCTGAGAGGTGTATGTATTATTTCCACTCACATTCCACTGGAGAGGGCCTGCACGTGGGTCACAGTACCAAAGCTCATTGTAACATCACACCCACCATTCATCATCCGCTATAGAGGAGAATCCTATCAAGGACACCCAGGGCAGTGGGAAGTGGCCATTTATTCATAAAAAAGCAACCAGGTTTGAGGTCGCCAAACAGGAACTCACATCACTGTTGTGCTGTTTTAATCATGCATTCGGCCCACAAATAGGAACTGGCCAGTCACACAAGGGGCTGGACACAAAGCAAGTTAGTCAAAGGTCCCTTGGCCCCATTTTTACCTGA